AAACAACCGTTGTTTTTTAGTTAAAGGTCTAATTTATGATCTCAGTTTGTGTGTGTGTGTGTGTGTGTGTGTGTGTGTGTGTGTGTGTGTGTGTGTGTGTGAGAAAAGGTTCCTGCTTCTCTCTTGATTTTAAAAACTCAGAGGAGAGAGAACATGAGAAAGCACTGAATACAAACAGAGAATACATTATTAAAACTCTCAGAGAGAAATCTGAGCTCATAAAGTACTCTTGTTTTCCAGAACAAACAAGTCTCCACGTACACAATGTATACATATATATAAGAGATAATACAAATGCCCATTAAAGGCATGTAAAGGTACTCTGATGACCTTGAACGCACCATTTTAGGATTTCAATCACAGAGTAATGAGATGATTATTTCTGGATCAAACATCAAAAGCCTCTGAGTTACGGTTCAAACATGTTTGTTATGAATATGAATCAACACATTAAAGAGTAAACCTTCCTCTCGCTATAAAGCTTTATTTATTAGTTCGTGCCAGAAAAATAATATCTTGTAAACTGCGTTTCCTACGAGCATCTGGCCTCACACACACACACATTGATGATCAGGTGAGTCCGCAGGAGATCACGAGATAAGGGACTCTCTCTCTGAAGCAGAGTAGCAGCGCCCCCTGCTGGGCTACTTTGACTTAAACCGATATATTCCTGCACTTTAACTTTATCTGCATTTTGATATTTATATTCAGATACTGACCTCATTACTGCGATGAAGGCCACGAGAAGTACAAGTACATCAGAGAGAACTTAGAAACAGGACTTGAGGAAAAGTACTTTTATGTTTTTATTAGAAATATGATATATTATAAAGCAGCAGAAAGTACTTTGAGCAGTATTTGAGGTACTTTCACACACTGAGGTACATGTACTCAAGTAAATCCCTCAGTGCTTTAACATCTACACACATACACTTCTTATCAAAGGAAATACTAAGGTATAGTTGTGTTAAAAATATATTTTAGTCAAAATAACTCTTACTTTGTATTTTTGTTTGTGTGGAATGTGTTTTATAAATATAATATATGAGTCTTTATAAGAAAACAACAACCTACATTAAAAGATTTAAAAAATACGTGTGTGTGAGGAGAGAGAGAGAGTGTGTGTGTGTGTGTGGTGTGTGTGTGTGTGTGTGTGTGTGTGTGTGTGTGTGTGTGTGTGTGTGTGTGTGTGTGTGTGTGTGTGTGTGTGTGTGTGTGTGTGTGGTCTGTTAATCAGCAGAAACCCAGATGCAGTGTCTGCTCCTCTGTCAGATACCCTAAAGAGAGTTGTATGACCCCTCTCAGGGTTTCTGTGTGAAATCCACATTTAGAGAAACAAAACAAAGAGTTAATTTTCAAACTAATAGCCTCTCCCTCCCTCTCTCTCCCTCTCTCTCTCTCTCTCCTCTCTCCTCTCTCCCTCTCTCTCCCTCCCTCTCTCTCCCTCTCTCTCTCTCCCTCTCTCTCTCCCTCCCTCCCTCTCTCTCCCTCTCTCCCTCTCTGCGAGGACGTGCCACACCTGACTGGTTATTAATGATGACACTGAGTACAGACCCTAAAGTGAGGATTGGGGGTGCGTTGGAACAGGAGCTAACATACAGATAGGTATTCAGTAATGTTCCAGGTCTTACCTTGAAGTGAACCCGCAGATTGGAGCCCCTGGACTTGCATGCTGCAACAGAATGAATCATCTTAACAAAAGCATCTCTCTGAACACGTTAAACAGAAGCACAGTCTGTTCATGAGGGGTCCAGAGGGGTCCCGCAGACATGACTACACACCTCGTAATAACGTCTACTCACATTTGGTGGGGTTCTCGGGGTCTAGAGAGTAGCGGACCATTTTCAGATATCTGGAGAAACAGAACAAAATGTTATTTAATGTGAACGAAGCGACTCCAGCATTAGCTCTGATTCGGCTGTGATGTCACCCCCGGAGAGTGAACCCTGATGTGCGGCAGAGAGACAGAAACATGAGGGTCTTTGAGTTACATGAGGTTTAAAACACAGCAGTTTGAGCCGACATGGCGGACAGCTAACGTCTCCTAAAAACTACTTTAACTTAATACCCCACCTCGAAACCCAGAGACCTAACTGTCCTGTAGACAGGTTGTCTGACTGTCTTTGAGCGCCTCCTCAGGATGAAATGCTGCTAAAAGGAGAAACATGTCTGACTGTCTTTGAACGCCTCCTCAGGATGAAATGCTGCTAAAAGGAGAAACATGTCTGACTGTCTTTGAACGCCTCCTCAGGATGAAATGCTGCGTCTCAAACAAGTTAAATAAAGAGGAGAAGGAGCTGCTCAGATTTATAAAGTCGTCTTCATGGAGAATCAAAGGTGTCCTAATTGGTCATCATTGCAGCTCCCCTCACACAGCTCTAATAAACTGCAGGTAGTAGAGCACCTGAACGCAGCACCTCAGAGCCATCACTTGTTTAAAGTTAGCCCTTCTTGTAAATCAGCTTAATGTTGCTTTAACTCTTGTCTCCTACATTCAGCCTCACAAAGACACATTCCAACATATTTATTTTAACTTGTTTTAATGATATTTGTATTTGAGATGTTTACATTTCGGATGATTTAGATTAAGAGTAGCGGAACATTTTCACACATCTGGAGAAATCAGAAGTAAATGTTATTTAATGTGAAATTAGCGACTCAACGTGACTCCAGCTAAAATTAGCTCTGATTCAGCTGTGATATATATATGATATAACCCACCACACGAGGGTCTTTCGGAGTTACAATAAGAGGTTTAAAACACAGCAGTTTGATCCAACATGGCGGACAGCTAACGTGTTAGCCACCAAACCGGCGTCTCCTTAAAAACCTAATTAAACTAAGAATCCAGCTTCAAAACACAGAAATCTAACTGCATGCGACGAGTTTAGACTTAGTTACAGACACGGGTAATGTTTAATGAGCAGGATGGAGCGCTTTGATAGAGATTTAGAGCAGATTCGGTTCGAGATGATGGTGATGTTGTCTTACCTCTGAGGCCGCGGAGGGAAGAGGAAGAACCGGGGGGAGAGAGCGGGGTTTCCGGCTCTTTAAGCAGCGCCGCACCGCCCCCTGTCGGTCGGGGGAGGGACTGCGCCTCACTGCGGTACTGCATGCAGAGATCAGATAAAAAGTACTTTATTGATCCCAAATTGGGAAATATTTGCGTTGCATTAGTAGAAAAATACAAGGCATTTTCACACAAATTTAACAAATAACCTTAAAAGCTAAAAAGAAAAAAAAACTAAAACACTTAGGACAATGAGCAAATGGCAAACTACAGTGTAATCATTCATATTTAATTAATACAAATAAAATAACATTTTATTATTTATAAATATTAACTTCTATCAAAAATATCCTGTTACTCCAACAGTAATAACATGAGTTGTTTTGTACAGTTTATAAGTTTAAAAGTACATTTAATACGATATTTTAATTTTAATTTTGCTAGTTGCATCTGTCAACAAATACAAAATATATATTTATTTTGGATACAACTTATTTAATGTTTCCATGCCTTGTGCAATTATTATATTCCATGTATGAACTGTATAATTAGTGTAAACATATTAAATAAACTGTAATAAATAAACAAACCATCTCCCGCTGCAGTGACAGTGTGTGGCCAGCAGGGGGCGCTGTTTCACTCGACCTGACATACATCCGGGTCTTTACACTCTTTGGCCCAATCCCAAACCACTCCCTCTACCCGGCGCTGCCTCTACCATACCCCTCCGTGACGGAGTGAACTCCGTCTGTAGCCACACTCGCAGCTCAACGAGGCTCCCTCCTGTCAGGTGGAGGGAGTAAATACAGCAGCAAGCTTTGGGACGGCCTCCCCTCTCTCCGGCAGAAACAGGAAATGCCTTAACTGTATGTAACAACGGTTTCAAATCAGATTCTCTTTGACAAAACATTAAATTAATAACTCAAATAAAACTCCAAACATCTTTCATTGTGTTACTTTTTTGTAAAGCTCTTTTAGTTTTAAGCTTCTTAGTTTTTGCAACGGTCTGTAAATATACACAACTTTATAATAGAATGCACACATTTACCTTTTTCTAGACTAATCACAGGTATGATCCTAAGTTAAAAACATATGAGGTTATCATGAGGTTGTTAACATTGCAGTTTATCAGTAGATGGCCCAATCCCAAACCACGCCCTACACCTTACCCCTACACACTACCCCTACACCCTACCCCTACACACTACCCCTACACCTTACCCCTACACACTACCCCTACACACTACCCCTACACCTTACCC